CTTTCACTTAATGATAATATGCTGTATGAGCAAAACCTAGCTTTGTATAATGAAGTGTGTTTTATCAGACACAAATCTTCACGACCAAGAAGATTATATGAAATAACAGAACTGCACTGTATAAATTGTTGGGGATTTATAAATACCTGTAACAAATAAAGAATCTAAAGGATTACGTGATACAAGGTAGCTTTATTGTTGAAATACTTACAATTCTGAAAAAAGTCAGTCATCTTTAAAATGTATCTAAAACCATTTTATTCCATTTTGGATGGTGTTGGGTAGGGTGGAACCTCTGTCAGGTTTTTTGATTTGTCCTGGTGACCATTTCTACTAGGACTCAAAGTAAGGGGAAATCTACAATTTTAAGTTATCACTGTGTCAGGAATAGAAGGGAAATCTCCCAATGGGAAAACATGTTACAATGACAGTTATGGTTATGTCTCACGACAGGACTGGAAGCAAAATGTTCCTGTTGCACTAAGACAGGACATTTTTTTTTTCCAGTTTAAACTATTCAAAACTAAAGAAAAATGTTTGTGTTTCATGTTGTAAAGAACTGCACAAACTGTTGGTGTTATATAAATCCTGTATAATAATAACAACAATATATATACTCTATCATCTAGAATTATAGATCCCTGCTCTGCACCCCTTCTATTGAGACAAACTCTTCCTGCTGCATTCTTCATAATATAAAATGAATCATAAGTCGCAGAAGGAAAAATGACACAAAGTGCACAAGATCTCTTGGAACAGATGAGGGAATTTAAGTATCAACATCTTACCACCCATTGGGAGTCCCCAGTAAAGAAGCTAGTGGGATGTTCAACTTACCAGTGGATTGGGTTGGAACCTAGGTAGATTTGCTCTTGCTTTTTTATTTTAAACCTCACCATTCTTTTCAACAGTTAGAAAAAACATTGAAATGCAAAGCCATGCTGCTATATCACAAGCTTACCCAAGACAAGGCGATGGAGTAGGAGCTGTAGTAAAGGTATATTTTGGTGGAGAAGTAAGACTATACAATGATATGACTGCACCCAGGATAATATCACCATCTCTGAAATAGTTGTACAAGGTAGAATTTCTCAGAATACAGCCAGCATTTGAGTTATTTCCAGCAGCATCAGCAAAATGTTGGAAATGTAATGATAAAAGCAAAACAATAAGAGACTGTTTATAAAAAATCATTGTTAGACAAAGCAGGAAAATTAATCATTATATACTATGACTTTAAAAAGGTTGCAACTTTAAATTTACAGTAGACATAGGAGCAAAAAAATAATAGTTTTTAAAATGTTTTTCTATTCTAAAAAATAAATGCTTTGTATCTATTATACTGTTAGAGCCTAGTACTAAATAACATAGAGAATTCACCTAACAAATCTATCCATTTTTCTATAATACTATTTAGCCTGCATCTATGTACAATACCAACTACTGGTAGCAAGGTCAATCCTTTTAAATGCCCCAGCGTGTGGCTAAGGTAAATATATATAGAGATATATATTTATATATTTATGTATTCATATGCAGTTAAACTTTAAAGTCTCTCTAGGCACATCAAAAATAAATTGCTAGTATGGATGAAATAATAATGGGTTAGTCCAATCCACCCTGCTATTTTCTAAAGGAAGAGCAGTGGCAAGCATATCATTAACAGAATGCTAGTCATTTCATCAATAGTGGCAGCTGAGGCCCTGAACTTTCACTAGTCATACAAAGTTAATTTGCTTTTTCTTCATTTGTATATTTTCTTCATACTTGCTAAAGGCTAGTTAGGAAAGTAAGTGTGAAAGAAGGAAACATGACAATTAAAAATATTTCTGCATGTAATCATGTTTTTACACAAGAAAATAAAAGATTTAAATATAAAACAGAAATCTGCGCTAAGAAAATAAAGTGCCAATAAATAGCAGCAAAGAGTGTACCTTGATGCCAGGCAACTCATAAATTGTGTACATATAAAGTGTAGCACTGCACTTTATATGTAAAGATTTAAATATATATTTTTTATTTTATTTGTATTATTATACTGGGGAATAGGTGATTTGGAAAGGTTCCCTGTACGCTAGTTTCCCCATATAAGGCTGATTTAAATACTATTAAAATACTTTTACAATTTTAATATGTTATTTATTTATAGATAAAGGTGTCTCCAGATGGGTGGTTCATTCTACATTTCATTTCTTTTTATTTCTCCTCCATTTGGTGTAGGGATGAGGAAATCAAGACGGGTTCAGTTCAGAAGAGGTACAGAAGGTCTGTAACCCCTATACAAACCCAAGGGAAATCCATTGGAAGCAGAACCAGCTATTGTTTATTCCCTTTTTCAAGGCTAATAAAATGCAAGCTATTGGTGATAAAAGGCATGGGGGGGGGGGGGGGCAGGGTGGAAATGTACCAGTACAAACATTTTTCTTAAATACTGTTTAGCGGGAGAAGTGTCTTTTCATGTGGCTTAAAGGGCAGCATTGAAAGTACACAAAACCTTTGGAGACAGTGCTAGGACAAAGTTATTTAGTGCCCAGGAAGGTCACAAACTGTTCCCACCCCATTCCCCATGATGGCCACACCTGATCATCTCCTGTAGCTGGGATCTGTTACCCAGCTGCCACCGTGCTTGTCTCAGCATCAGGGGTTGTCACTAACATTGGCCAACCCGGGCATGTGCTCCACATCTCCTGAGATGCCGGGGGTCCCCAATGCCAAAATCCCCTGTCCCTGTTGCAGATGTCTGTCCTTCCCCTAGGCTCCTCCTTGTCTCTGACATGACACACAAGCGGATGGAGTTTGGGAGGAATTAAATCCCACATGCCGTGGGATAGTTGGAAGGGGGAGGAATTTTGCTAGGAAAAGGGATTGGGAAGGTGGTGGGGGTGAGATTTTTGCTAAAAGGGGAGATTTGTAAGAAGATGATTTGTGCTGGGCAGGGTGATTGGGGGGAGGAGAGGATTTGTGCTAGGAGGAGGAACTGGGGATTTCTGCTAAGAGAGGGGAATTGGAGGGGGTAATTCATTTGTTTTTTTTTTTATATTTTAATAGTTTTCAATATTTCCACTTTATATCAATAAATTATCATAATATTCAAAAAACATTTTCCTTTATACCTTTCTCCTCATTCAAAGTGTGACAGTGCTGAAAGCTGAAAATTGGCCTGGGCAGGAAGGGGGTATAAGTGCCCGGCTATCCCTTTCTGAGGAAGTGCAACTGCACGAAACGCGTCAAAGGGGCCATAACACTGTGACGTCCAACCACCAGTTCCTAATATAGGTCCAGAGGCCACCTTCACTTTTATACGGTCAGTGTTGTTTTGTTTGTATACTCTGATTTTATTGAATGTTTCCTATCCAAGGGGAATAATACATTTTTTAAAAAATACTACACCATGGGCTACTTTTTTGTTGACTCCTCCGTGAGCCAACGTTCATTTCTAGCCCACACCTCATGGCACAGGAGCCATTCCCATTTACTGACATCAATGTAGAGGAGGACGCCAGTTCCAGTGCGACTTATCCTGCCCATTTGCTTAAGAGGCTTCTACGGTGACACCTGTTGTTTTATACCAAGGGAGACGACCAAGAGGGGGGAGAGTCCGTTAAGACGGCCCAGCTCATCCATCCCATCCCATGAGGGGGGCCTCTGGTTATGTTGATTATATGCGTATTGAAAGATACGCATCTGGTGAGTGCGTATTTTTACTATTTATCACCTCGCCACTGGAACGTGAAGTCACTAGCATCTCCTGTACCTATCATCTGCCACACACTGTCACCAGTTTAATTTTAATATATTATGATTTTATCATTTTATGATATTTGTGATTTAGCTTGATTTTATTTTGGACCATGATTTGAATATGTTTTACACCATTACTAGTACGGATCTTAATTAATTTTTTTTTAGTGCTGCACTTTCTTTCTAAACACTGAAGAAATGACACTTTGCTACAATGTAAAGTAGTGAGTGTACAGCTTGTATAACAGTGTACATTCGCTGTCCCCTCAAAATAACTCAACACACAGCCATTATTGTCTAAACCACTGGCAACAAAACTGAGTACACCCCTAAGTGAAAATGTCCAAATTGGGCCCAATGTCATGTGGCACATTAGTGTTACAAGTTCTCTGGTGTGAATGGGGAGCAGGTGTGTTAAATTTGGTGTTTTCACTCTCACTCATACTGGTCACTGGAAGTTCAACATGGCACCTCATGGCAAAGAACTCTCTGAGGATCTCAAAAAAAAGAATTGTTGCTCTACATAAAGATGGCCTAGGCTATAAGAAGATTGCCAAGACCCTGAAACTGAGCTGCAGCACAGTGGCCAAGACCATACAGCGGTTTAACAGGACAGATTCCACTCAGAACAGGCCTCGAAATGGTCGACCAAAGAAGTTGAGTGCACGTGCTCAGCGTCATATCAGGTTGTCTTTGGGAAATAGACGTATGAGCACTGCCAGCATTGCTGCAGAGGTTGAAGGAGTGGGGGGTCAGCCTCTGAGTGCTCAGACCATACGCTGCACACTACATCAAATTGATCTGCATGGCTGCATCCCAGAAGGAAGCCACTTCTAAAGATGATGCACAAGAAAGCCTGCAAACAGTTTGCTGAAGACAAGCAGACTAAGGACATGGATTACTGGAACAATGTCCTGTTGTCTGATGAGACCAAGATAAACTTATTTGGTTCAGATGGTGTCAGGCGTGTGTGGCGGCAACCAGGTGAGGAGTACAAAGACAAGTGTGTCTTGCCTACAGTCAAGCATGGTGGTGGGAGTGTCATGGTCTGGGGCTGCATGAGTGCTACAGGCACTGGGGAGCTACAGTTCATTGAGGGAACCATGAATGCCAACATGTACTGTGACATACTGAAGCAGAGCATGATCCCCTCCCTTCAGAAACTGGGCCGCAGGGCAGTATTCCAACATGATAACGACCCCAAACACACCTCCAAGACAACCACTGCCTTGCTAAAGAAGCTGAGGGTAAAGGTGAAGGCCAAGCATGTCTCCAGACCAGCTCTGTGATGTCATCATGGAGGAATGGAAGAGGACTCCAGTGACAACCTGGTGATGGCTGATTCCAGGAGTGAGCTTCTGGCACTGGCACGACAGCGGGCACCAAGTCAACTGGCACGACAGCGGGCACCGGGTCAACTGGCATGACAGCGGGCACGGGGTCATCTGGCACGACAGCGGGCACCGAGTCATCTGGCACTACAGCGGGCACCGAGTCATCTGGCTCGACAGCGTGCACAGAGTTACCAGGCTCGACAGCGGGCACCGAGTCACCAAGCCCGACAGCGGGCACCGAGTCAACTGGCACGACAGCGGGCACCGAGTCATCTGGCACGACAGCGGGCACCGAGTCATCTGGCACGACAGCGGGCACCGAGTCATCTGCACGACAGCGGGCACCGAGTCATCTGGCACGACAGCGGGCACCGAGTCATCTGGCACGACAGCGGGCACCGAGTCATCTGGCACGACAGCGGGCACCGAGTCATCTGGCACGACAGCGGGCACCGAGTCATCTGGCACGACAGCGGGCACCGAGTCATCTGGCACGACAGCGGGCACCGAGTCATCTGGCACGACAGCGGGCACTGAGTCATCTGGCACGACAGCAGGCACCGAGTCATCTGGCAGAACAGCAGGCACCGAGTCACCAAGCTTGACAGCGGGCACCGGGTCAACTGGCATGACAGCGGGCTCCAAGTCATCTGGCACGACAGCGGGCACCGAGTCACCTGGCTCGACAGCGGGCACCGAGTCACCAAGGTCGACAGCGGGCACTGAGTCATCTGGCTTGACAGCGGGCACCGAGTCATCTGGCTTGACAGCGGGCACCGAGTCATCTGGCTTGACAGCGGGCACCGAGTCATCTGGCATGACAGCGGGCACCGAGTTATCTGGCTCGACAGCGGGCACCGAGTCAACAAGCTCGACAGTGGGCACCGAGTCACCAAGCTCGACAGCAGGCACTGGGTCAACTGGCACGACAGCGGGCTCCAAGTCATCTGGCTCGACAGCGGGCACCGAGTCACCAAGCTCGACAGCGGGCACCGAGTCATCCGGCTCGAAAGCGGGAACCGAGTCACCAAGCTGGACAGCGGCACCGAGTCAACTGGCACGACAGCGGCACCGAGTCAACTGGCACGACAGCGGGCACCGAATCACCAAGCTCGACAGCCGGCACCGGGTCAACTGGCACAACAGCGGGCTCCGAGTCATCTGGCACGAAAGCGGGCACCGAGTCAACTGGCACGAAAGCGGGAACCAAGTCACCAAGCTCGACAGCGGGCACCGGGTCAACTGGCTCGACAGCGGGCACCTGAAGGAATTAGCCTTTCAACATTACCATACCGCCATTTGTCTCTTGACCTGAGATCTGCCATTTTAAGATAAGAATCCATTTTGAGATTTATGTCAGTACTTAAAGATGAATTTGTGTTTTAAGACTGTTTCTTACTTTCGATAAGAGTCTGAGGTTCCTCTTTTCCCTTCAGATGTAACTTCCTTTTTTCCTCTACCGAGCACAAGACTGAAAGTCTGCGGTGGGCTTTTTCCTGTTGCAAGAGTATTAATAAACTATAGCCAGCGCTAAAAGGGAAGTTGTCTACTTTCTATATTAATGTTTGACGCATAATAATAATTAACATAAATGCTAAATGATTGGGCATTACTGACGTATATAATATTCTGATTGGTCAATGCATACCTGTCAATTGATTGGTTCTTATATTTCCATGTATTGTTTTAAGTTTCATATATAAGTTTGAACACGGAAGAATAAATTCAGTTCCTTCTGAGATACCACCTTGTGTCTGTGTGCAATTTCCTGTATCTCAAAGGGGACTCCAGGCCTGTAGACAGACATTGATCGGGGCCAGGGGACTGACGGGAGTCGGTAGCTACAGGAAGGAACGAGAGGAGCCAATTCCTTTCAATTGGGGGCTCGTGTCCGGGATGAGATAATCATCCTTTTCGGTAGGTAAGATTTTTTGTCATTCTGTCAATTAGTCTGTCTTGCCGGAAGGGCTCTGATTAAAATCTCATGCCCTTAGGTAGCACCGGGCTTCGCGTCTAAAGACGCTAGTGGCCAGGCGCAAAGTGCTGTGGGAAGCACAAGGTCTTTTGGAAAAGACCAGGAGCAGTTTTGGGAACTGCACAGTCTCTTATGAGAAGGGGCTGAAAAGAGTTTCTCTGAGAAGAAACCAGGAAAAGTCCGGGGCTGATCAATTCTGTCTTGCAACTCTTTGCTTTTCTTCCTATCGCATAGAAGTATAAGATAATTTGTTTGTGTGACACAAGTGCCCAGTTGGTAAGTGTATGGGCCAGAGGTCACTGAAGGTATTGTCAACTTCCGTTGTAAGACGCACCACCCCTTTAGCTAGGCCTTATTGGCTGATGACCTAGAGAAGGTGATAGCATGGTGACACGGAGTTGGGTGCCTATGTAAATGTCTTGTTCAAATTGTGTTGTAGGCTTATTGTTAGAAAAGTGGGAGTTAGTCAGAGTCAGGATATTATTAGAAGTATTGTATATCCAGGTTATAATCTCCACTTTTGGTCAACCACTAGAGAAAGACCCAATAAATATCTTAAGTCCAGACATTTTTATAAAGTAAATTGTCATTTGGAAGTTGACCCCTGTTTTTTGGGACAGCCTATAGGACAGATTTGTAACACAGACCTTTGTAAGTGTAAAAATGGGAAGTGGTCAAAGTAAGGATAAACTCCCTCCCCCAAATGTTGGTGAGACATGTAAAGATTATGTAGCCCGTATCTGTGGGACAGATTACTATCTAGTTAACCCCTGGGTGGATAAATTAGCAGACTGGAGTGAATTCATGGGAAGTGTTGACCCGTTCCCCCGTGATGGGAGCAATGATATTTTTCATATGGATATGATTAGGGGTCTCTGTCTGGGGGATAAACAGGCTTTCCCATGGTATAAGGGAGATCCTGTGTGGGATCAGAAATACATGACCAAAGGTGGACAAAATTGGTTAGAATTTGCCCCTCTCTGGTTTCATAGACAAACTGGGAAACAAAATAAAGCCAAAGCTAGAAAATGTAGATGCCACTAAAATACATGCAGTAGAGTCAGAAATAGACAGACCCACACACCCTCCTCTCATGCCATTCCCTCCCCCATATGTCCCATCTGTCCCACAGCCCACAAAACTTTATCCATCTCTTACTGAAGAAGATATTGATTTTTTAGCCGGACATTATGCAGTCCAACACCCCACTGCACCTCCAGCACCAACACTTCCACAGACCCCTCAAATACCTAGTGCTGTTCACATTTCTACCACACAGCCTAGTACAGTTCAAACACCCGCGCCCTCCCAGGGTGTGGTTCAAAGTCCTACCACACAGGGAGCGACAGGGGGAATAGCTGTTTCTTCAACTACTGAAGCAGATGACTCACTTGTTGATGAATCCGCTAGTTCAGGCTCTCTGCTGTTCAGAGCAGCTAATAGTCTAGGTATAGTGGACATGCTAAGTCCATCACACACACGCCATAATACCCAATATGGTATTGATTCCAATACACAACAGATGCCCTTCATGACAATAGGAGACAATCTATTAAAGAAACCCATTGAGATAGAAGACATAAAAATAGGATTGTCAAACATTGTCCAAGACCCACTGTTTCTTCAACGGCTACTGTGAGCTATTTGAAGAAAGCATGTAAAGGTAGAAATTACACACAAGAGGATATGCGCCTTATCCTCGATGGAATATTGGGACAAACTTCCCCTGGAATTGGGGTAATGTTGGGACCATATCCATCCTAGAAGCAGGCAACATTACTGCCACAAATTATAAATTAAACACAGAAGATGGTAGGGACAATATGTGGAGAGAGGTCTCAGAAGAAATGGAACGAGCTTTCCAATCTAGATCCTCCCTCCCTACCGCAGTAGCCTGCAAGCAAAAGTCAGGAGAAACTGTGTTAGATTTTTGGAAAAGATTTAATGAGACATGGACACAAGAGGCAGGACTGACATTGCAAGACACCATGCATAGTCTACTGATTCAGACTTTCCTGTCCAATCTAAAACCCAGTGTCATGTTAACTGTAAAACAGATGATTTCTGAATGGCCCACTTGTACCAGAGAACAATTTCAATTGAAATTGACTGAGAAAGATGCTGCCGGATGTCTAGAGATACCCAAGGCGGTGGGCCACATCATTTTCAGGAAGATCCCTTTCCCCACACAAACCCACCGTACAAGAGAAGGGGGGGTTTCAATAACCGAGGCAGAGGCCGGTTTAGGGGAAGAGGGAGGAATAATAGGGGACGGGACACGGGTTGTTTTAACTGTGGGGCTGAGGATCATTGGAGAAATCAATGTCCATATGAAACTCAGGACCACGCCCAGCATAGCCCCTCCCCAGGCCAACCACAAAGGGACCTCCCACAGCAGAATGTGAGGTTTCCTATCTCTTGGCAGACACAATCACAAAATAAATGAAGGTGCCCAGAAGGTGGTATCCCAGCATTCCCGCTTGTCTCTCACTCTTATAAGGAACAACCCCTTGTATCCTTGCATATACAGGGCAAATTAACCCCATTCTTGTTGGACTCAGGCGCGACTCGTTCGAGTCTGAGTGAGGATTATTATAAGGGAGAGGTAATGAATGCTGAACCTTCTATGGGAATAAATGGGATACTGACCAAGACTTATAAAACACCGCCTCTTCCAATTTTTGACCCCATACAGGGAATCACTCTGCTAGATCACTCATTCAGAATCATACCCAATTGGTCCAGTTAAATTTGTTAGGGAGAGACCTCATGGGAGAGTTGAACATCAACTTGAAATCCACAAGGAGAGGTGGTTATAGTGGCTCATTCTGCCAAAAATGCCACAATCATCCCTGCCATGACAATGATTACTAAAGAAGACCCCTCATTTCCTGCTGGAACAATTAATGACAAAGTTTGGGCAAAAAGTGCCTTGGATGTGGGATTCATTTCCTGCACTCCATATAAGGCCACACTGAAGCCATGGGCTCAACCTGTGTTTCACAAACAATACCCTTTGTCAAAAGAAAAGGAGGAAGGAATAGTGCCCATGGTGGAACACTTTCTCAAGGAAGGAGTCCTTGAAGAGGTGATTTCACCATACAACAGCCCAATAAATCCAGTTAAGAAGCCGGACGGCTCTTACAGATTTGTGCAGGACCTGAGGGCCATTAATGATCTTGTGATTCCCATTGCCCCAATAGTGCCTGATGTACCAACACTCATTTCCTCCATCCCAGCTGATGCTGAGTTTTTTCACAGTGATTGATCTGACAAATGCATTTTTTTCAATCCCTGTTTGCCAAGGAGACACGCCCAATTTTTGCGTTTCATTACAGGAGGAAGACCCTTACTTGGTGTAAATTACCGCAAAGGGTATGTAGATTCGCCTGTGGTCTACTCTGTTGTCCTCCAGGCTACCATTAAAGCCATGGACTCCTTGCCATGGTTCAGTATTGGTTCAATACGCAGATGATTTGCTTCTCTGTAGTGTTAATCGGGCAGCCAGCCAAGGGGATAGTGTAGATCTCATGAACTGGTTATGTGAATGTGGTCATAAAGTGTCTAAGAAAAAGCTACAATGGTGTCAGA